AGCATCCATGATCTTGATGATGATGAAAAAACTGTGCAGTTCACCTTTTTACACTCATCGTTATCAACACAACGACATCCTCGACATACTGTATGTAGCGTTGCGGTGTTGCTAGACAGATATGGAAGAACGGAGAGGAGGCGAGGTACATTTGACAGCTCAACTGAGCCCAGATGTATTCCCTTGCAGGAAGCAACGCCTAACCTGAAGTTGCGGTAACATCAGTAAAACAACAAACAGGGTGGCTAGCTCGCTGACTAACTGGCCTGTGGGAAAACGTCCTCCTTCTCTCTCGAACAGCTCGATGTCACTTAGAAACATAACCCCCTCATCCACCCCGGAACTACTTTCAGCTACTACCAATTATGGGGGACAGCTCCCTCAGTTAAACACATAACACAAGAATGTATACCCAGCGTTACAATACGAGGACGACAAGACATGACATGACATGATAAAATAGAACTTTATTGATACAAAATTAAATTCTAGAAAACTTTTAGACTGCAGATACGCCTTCATGTAAGAGAGGAAGTTAAACTACAACACTTCAGAGTCTCTGTATGTGACACAGAAAGCACAGAAATATGTGCAGATATGAGAGTGAGATGTTATGAAAGTCTTTGTCCATATTTCCTGCCCATCCTTTTACTGTACTCCCCCCCCCCTGCGGAGTGGAATAAAATCAACTTTATTAACTTTATTAGGCTGACATGTTTCCGCCTTCATCAGGATCATCAGTTTGCTCTATCTGCAACGCCATCCTCTGCCTAGTGCTGCACTCTCAGCTTACTGTATGCCATCCACATTTAGATGGTGACTCATTGCATTTAAAGAGACACACACACCAAAAGGAGCGTTCTGAGAGAGCTGGTTTATACAGGGTCACAAACCTCCTCTGGTGCTTGATTCATGTTATATTTTGACCAAAGCACAGCACAGATGTTTCATTTAGACCACAGGGGACAATGGAAAAGGGGGATAATATGTCCTCTTTAAATACATTCAAACAGCACCAGCTCACAGAGATGCTCATTGCTCTGCAGTAAAGCAGATTTTTACAATAACTGTTTTATGTGTGTCAGCATGAGACAAACACACACTCACACACACACCTTGTTCAGCTCAGTATGTAGGCCAGCTGATAAGACCAGGGACAGCAGATAAGCGTGACAAATATACGACGGTATGGAGGAGGGAATATTTCAAACCAGCAGTCGGTCTGTTTCTGTTTGAGAGTCTCACACTCTGACTTATATAACAGAGATTTCACCTGACAGAGCTCTCAGAGCTGTAACGAGCTGTCGTCTGTTTCTGTGATCAGAAACGAGGTCAGCTGTGAAACGAAGGGTTAATGACAGTCCAGAGTCCGGCGCTGATATAAGAATAAAGGAAGAACAAGTTTAACCTTTTAACCCAGAAAAAAAACAGTCTGATTACACAGTAACACAGGAACTCAGTCAGCACCTCGTCCTGAGCTCATAGAGTCAGCTGTTTCTGGTGTGTATGTGCACGCGCAGGTACACACAGGTACACACAGGTACACACAGGTACACACAGGTACACAAATACACACCGGTACACACAGGTAAACATAAAAACACACAGGTACACACAGGTAAACACAGGTAATGTTTACAGTCCATGGCTATTATCTATCTAAAGCTTAGTCGAGGATATGTGCCATCATCACCTACAGCACGGGAACAGATGAAATTGAAAGTTTCCCCGCATTCATTGCAGCCATTTTGCTGCCCAGTGTGCCGTGATGCATAACAACTCAGACCAGGCTGGTGGTACAATTCTCTCCCTTGTTACTGTAAGTCCTAATAGTTCATTTAAAGAAAACAGTGGTATATGGTTCAGTTAATAAACACTTCAGAGTGCTGGTTGGATTGAAAAGACTCCCTACTTAAATGAGACAAACACAAGTGACCAGAGGAGGCGGGCAGCACGACTCGGTCAGTTTTAATTTAACAAAACATCTTATACATCACAAAGCTAAAGGTTAAAGTTAATACAGACACAAAGGTAACAAAAATTAAAACACAACCTGAGTTGTCTGAGAGTTGAAGCTGCAGCAGCCAGGATGATTAAAGCTGCTGAGGGGGGTCATAGAGATCAGACCTCACCTGGTCTAACCTCAGGCAGCGGGCCTCCATGATGCAGCTCCAACTCTTCATGCAGTATTCAGCTCCATCTGTGGTCTGCTGTCCCTGCAGGACCACACTGAACACACACACACACACACGTTAATATGGACACACACAGGAATGAGGGGAGGACGAGGACACAGGAAGGACTTAACTGGGTCGGAAAAATTAGGACATGTTTATTAAAGGGGGGTGAATATTGTAGAGCAGGTCTAGACTGAGGCACCTGATCAGGTAACAGCTCAACATCATGATTATTGTGATTTCAAAGAACAGATGGAAAGATGAGAATCACTCAAAGACTCACGTACAGAGAAAAAGAGCAGCAGGATTATGCTGCATTCATGTGCTCCTCAGATGATCCCAGTTTCCGACTTCTGCTGACTTCAGTGTGTTTGCGAGCTTTTAGTTCGGAAAGTCTGAATGTTGTCATTTTAAAATTATTTCCTCCCAGACTTGTTTCTTCACTTTAACTGCTGTTCACAGAGTGATATAGATTAATTCGTAATTTTTTTTTTTTTTTAGCATTTAACAATACTATCAAGTCCGATTTAACATTACCTGACTTTTTAATCAAATATAGTAAAATAAAAATACTAAAATATTGTTTTAGCTAACGTACCTGACTTGTTATAAGAGGAAGAATGTGCAACTTTTCGATCAAGTAGATGTCGTTCTTTAGCCCCAGCATGAAACCAAAACAAACTGTGGTTAGGCCACGCCTCCTCCATACTGGAGCGTCCGCTCTCCTCCAGAGACACACCTCCAACCCCCTCCACTCGCGTTTGCGCAAAGAGTTTAGCACAAGCGGAGGACAATAATAAAAAGTGTCCTCTGCTCGAGCTGCAGTTGCCTGTGGCCTGCATTGTTGTGTTAGCATGCTAATGTTAGCGGTCTTTAGTTAGCTCGTTCTACTTCTTTTCTCCAGTCCTTGACTAAATAAGCTTTTATACACAAGGGGAGGAGCCGGCCGTTCTGCACCTCTTTTTTTGTCATTCGACTTCCTACACTTCGTATAGACAGTCTGTGATAAAGACAGAGGAGAAGACAGGAAGTGACATCGTAAAGGAACGTTAAAGGATGTTTCACACTTGGTTCATGAGCTTGTCAGACTGGTGTGTGTGTGTGTGTGTGTGTGTGTGTGTGTGTGTTTAGTTGGGTTAGGGTGAAAAGGTGACTGACTTGCACACAGAATAAACAAATATTAAGCCCATGATGCTTGCATGCGTTAATGTGTGTGTGAGGGATATCTGCCCCTCTTAGTGTGTCAGTGTGTGTGTGTGTGTGTGTGTGTGTGTGTGTGTGTGTGTGTGTGTGTGTGTGTGTGTGTGTGGTGCTGACAACAGTGTCCTGACTGTGATGTGGACAGTTGGAGGTGCTGACAGCCTTGTGTTGGTTCAGGGTCCTGCTGGGGGCTGTCGGGGCAGGTTGGGGCAAATGCCCTCCTACCGCCCCCTCCATTCTCAATCCCCACCCCCCACCCTCTTGTCCCCGTCATGGCTGTGACAGTCTGATAAATATACACTCCTGCTCTGTCACTTCATTTAACCCTTCATGGTGTTCTGCACGTTTGTGTTCAGAAGGTTTTGCACAAAGTTTGAAAAATAATTAACTGTTCACAACTCTTTCCTTTTCTACTTAAAAAAAAAATAGTTTCACAACTTACAAGACAAAGTATGAAACATGCATCATTTTCATGGTAATATGGTAAAGTGCTTAATGGAGACCGAAGATCAGTGTGCAATGTCCTCCAGTATAGTCTAAGCTTGTAGCAGTATGGGCTGGTCCAAGCCTAAGGCAGCCTGAACTATAAACTTCATCAAAAAGGAAAGTTTGAAGCCTGCTCTAAAAAGTAGGAAGGGCGTCTAGGGGCTCTTTGGGAGGTAGAAGGCTCTACCTCCCATAGTACATTTAGAGACTGTAGGTACCACCAGTAGGGCTGCATTCTGGGAGCATAATATTCTTGAAGGGTAGTAAGGCACTATTAGCTCTTAAGATAAGATGGAGCCGGACCATTTAGAGCTTTGTAACTGAGAAGAAGGATTTTAAATTAAGTTCGAGATTTTATAGAGAGCCGGTGCAGAGAAGCTAATATAAGAGTAATGTGGTCCCTTTTCCTAGTTCTAATCAATAGGCGAGCTGCAGCATTTTGGAGTCTTTAGAGACTTACCTGAGCACCCTGATAGAAGAGAATTACAATAATCCAACTTAAAGGTAACAAATGCATGGAATAGTCTTTCTGCATCGTTATGAGTCAGGACGTGGCTGATTTTAGAGATATAATGAAGGTTAAGATAGGCTGTGCTTGAAATGTTTATTATGTTGGAGTTAAAGAACATATGCTGATCTAAATGACCTCCCAGAGTCCTGAAGCTGTGAAAATAATTTCCACCTGAAATGTGAAAAAAACTAATCTTGTCATTTAAAAAGCACATACAGATCGGCACAGAGACGAGAGGTTCATTCATGGAAAAACTGAGCAGATGTGAAGCGACATTTAGACGGAAAAGGTAGACATCTGATCACAGTGTTAGCCTGACTGACCTGTGTTTGCGTGTGTGTGTGTGTGTGTGTGTGTGTGTGTGTGTGTGCGCGTGTGTGTGCGTGTGTGTGTGTGTGCATGTGTGTGTGTGTGTGTGTGTGCGCGTGTGTGCGTGTGTGTGTGTGTGTGTGTGTGTGTGTGTGTGTGTTGTCAGAGAAAGAGAAAGAGAGAGAGAGAGAGAGAGAGAGAGAGAGAGAGACACCGGTCAGTCAGACAGACTACAGTCTTTCCATATCTGTCATATCCTGTTATGAGGAAAAACAGTGAAAAGGAAACATACGGGAATTAAATGGATATTAAATCGATCAAGGACGCAGAATGAAAACTTTATTTGTATAACACTTTGTGAAAAAAGTTACAAAGAGCTTCATATGTTGAAAAGAGAGCAGAACTATGGAGGCATGGATGAAAGAGCTTTTGCAGGCCTGTCACGAGTGGATTTTAAATAAAGAATGCATTAAATACATAAAATAAATGGTAAAAAACTATAAAATAAAAAACAAAGATAAAGCAATGGAGTCAAAGGATTACCCAGATTTTAAGGTACACTTAAGGCAATTTTCAGTCACAATTTGTGCTTATTTGTTGGGTTTTTGGACTATATAAAGCTCACACTGCAGCTTTCTTTATATTTTTTAAATATAATTGCAAAGACGGAGGTAGGCTACATCTGCTTGTGATAAGTTGTCTTCCTTTAGGTGATCTGTCATCGTGTGCTGTCATCCTTAACTGTCCTAGAGTCAGCGGCGGAGCAGCACGGCTGGAAAAAGAAGGAGAGGAAAGAGAAATGAGGACGATGACAGATGTGGAGAACATCAGCTGTGACTCAGGAGAGGAGACGACGAGCCAAAACTGACATTAGTCTCTGATTTACATCTGAGGAGGGATTTAAATCTCCATAACTGCTCCGCTCACCAGGTTTCCTCTCAGAGAGAGAGAGAGAGGGAGAGAGAGATAGAAAGAGAGAGAGAGAGAGAGGGAGAGAGGGGGGAAAGAGGGAGAGATGGGGGGGGGGCTCTGGTCTACTAAAGGTCGCTCCATCATCTCCATACAGAGGTTAGGTTGTCATTAAGAATAACCTAAGTAGATTTTTTAAATTTGAGATGTAAATTGAAGAACCAGGTAATAATCAGCATGGTCAAAGATGGCCTAGCGGGTAGGTTGTGCCCAATGTATAGAGGCTAGAGTCCTCTGATGTGACGGCCCGGGTTTAACTTCGACCTGCGGCTACTTTCTTACATGCCATTCTTCACTCTCTCCATGATTTCCTTCTCTATCCACTGTCCTACACAAATAAAGGCCCAAAAAAATCCTTAAAACATCTTACCAATTAGAGTGTCAGCTCTCATTGTCACACTAGGCAGTCTGTACCGGTGGACATGAAGTATAATATCATAATAGGCCTGGCCAGTGGGGACTTCATGCTTCAGCATAGTATGGGGCAACTGGGCCTAGTGTGAGTATGAAGACGAACTGAATGTTTCAACCAAGCAGCAACCTCCTGTGTTGGAAAATGAAGCCAATGCTTAATTGCAAATTCCTGCAGTTCCTCGAGTGTCCATCCACTAGAGGCTGTCTGCTGAAGCACAGGAAGTCACATACACACCCATTCTAAAAAGCCTGTTTTTACAGCAGAGATTAACATGTTTACAGCCTGGTTCAAAAAAACAAATAGGTGTGATTAGCTCATGTCTCAATCGACACACACTGTACGGGGGATGAATGTTTTGATGACTCATCAGTTTTGATTTGATGAAGGATAAGAGTTATTCACAATCACTAACTCAGTTACTAACCACCTACTTTCCTGGGAGCTCTTGAGCTCTCTTAGGCTCCACGAGATCGTTGGTTGACGGCCTGCCAGAACAACCCTGTGAAGGCTGTTTCTGTCTTTTAATAAGGCAGTTTTTTCTTACCACTGTAACTTTTGCTGCTTTGCTAAAGTGCTCATGATGGATAGGCCGGGTCTTTGTAATATAGCAATAAGTAAGGTCTTTAACCTGCTCTTTGTAACATAACAATGAGTAAGGTCTTTAACCTGCTCTTTGTAACATAACAATGAGTAAGGTCTTTAACCTGCTCTTTGTAACATAACAATAAGTAAGGTCTTTAACCTGCTCTTTGTAACATAACAATAAGTAAGGTCTTTTTACCTGCTCTTTTGTAATGTTAACAGACAAAAAGTAAGGTCTTCTACCTGCTTTTTGTAAAGTATCTCGAGATAACACTTGTTATGAGTTGACGCTATACAAATAAAAATTGATTGATTGATTGATTGATTGACAATAAGGCGTGTAGCTGACCTGACTGACAGGTGGCAGAGGTAACGGTTTGTCAGGAGGTTTAAAACCCGCCTCAGCTCCAGCTCTCAGCCTGTAGTAAGGTTGACTGAACGTTAGGCTGAGACAGCATTTCCAGCATGGAGACCGCCATCGATGGGACCCCAGCGTCCCCTGCAGAAACAAATAGGTGATGTCACTCAGGCTTCAAACATCATTATTTACAGTCTATGGTTTAACTCAAGTCAGACTTTAACCTCAGTGTTAAAGAAACATATTATATGAGTTAAGTGAAAGTGTCGGTGATGAGGTCAAAATGTCGAGAAATACGTTAAAATGTAGAGGAAAGAATTCTCTGTCACTCACTTTTCTCTTTCTGCCCTCAGAAAACTCGAACTGTACGGTAAGAAATATGTTAATTAAAGTAAAGTAGAACAGAGGAGGAGCACTGAGCAGCAGACAGAGACACACACACACACACACACACTTGTATCTGTTGCCATGTGAGGCTATCACAGCAGAGATATAGAGCGGTCTGTTTGAGAGACAAGATAGTGACATAACAGAGGTAAGTGTGTGTGTGTGTGTGTCTGTGTATTTATTTCTTTATGGATCTGGTGTGATAGCTGTTTGTTGTCAAGTGTGTCATTGAGTAACAGTAACAATCTCTGACCCTCGATGTTTGTTTCCTTCTTCTGCACACACCTCAAAGTCTCCCCTGGTTTAAAAGTGGCGAGGGTAACTTGGTGAGTGACTCAGCTGGGACCATCAGGTGAACTCGTTCGGTGTTCAGGTGGAGGCAGTGAGTGAGGTGACATCACACTGAAGCGTGTTTCTGTTTGGAATGCAGCCCCCGCAGTCTGAGAGGCCATCTGGATTGAAGATTGACCCGACATAGCTGTGAATGATTTACAGCCTCACACACAATGCACACACACACACACACACACACACACACACACACACACACACACACACTGACACACACGCACACAATGCACACACACACACACACGCACACACACACACACACACACACACGCACACATACACACAGACTGTTTGCAGGTTTCAGATACAAACAAATTTGAACTTTATTAAAGATTAGAGGTGCATGCGTGTGTGTGTATGTGTGTGTGTTCTGAGTGGTAATTTTAGTAGACCCGCTTGCACTTTGCATCCCCACAGCGTTCATAAAGAGCTGTCATATCTAAACATAAACGCTTCAGTGTGTAGTAGTTTGTGTAGGAAACAAAATGTGACACTGTGTGTGTCTGTGTATGTGTGTGTGTTTGTGTGAGATTGTGTGTGTGTCTTTGGCAGTCAGTTTCAAGGACGGGTTAAACGCTGCTGTCTTTTTATAGCACTAAAAATTCACCCAGTGTGCATGGTTACGTGTGAGTGTGTGTGTTTGTGTGTGATTGTATGTGTGTGATTGTGAGTTAGTGAGTAACTTACTGAATGAGATATAACAATGGTGTGAGTGTGTAAAGGGTAAAAGGTTGTTGTGAATCAGACATGTGACACTGAGTGTGTTTACATTGACTCGAGTATTCCGGTTTTCATTGTGTTTCTGAAGTATCCCGTTTTTTTGTTCATGCATGTGAACATCATATCCTGATTTAAGAAACCCAGATCAGCCCTCATCGTGGTTTTTAGCCAAACGATTCTGCTCCCTGTAGGACTCAGGATACTGTGGCACTTTATTTGACATGGGCATCACAGATACATTGGACAAACCAGATGCATTGTTTAAGTGCTTTAGCATACGTGCTAGTTTCAACACCTTACCCTGGTTCTGACAGCTGCTGACTAACTGCACAGATGAGGCCTCAGACAAGTGATGTATCACCAGAGTAAACATGGCGGCAGCTACGAGAGCATCTTACTTCTTAGGCAAAGGAAAAACTGAGTTTTTTCTTTCCCGTTGCTGCAACGAGATGCTAAACCCAGAATAAGCCACAGTGGTCTCATTTTTCTCAGATTTCTAAATTGCAGCGGTTTGTGTTGTAACAAATAAACATCACAGGCGTCTTCACAAATAAGATGCAGTGATCAGAAAGTATTTATCATGTACACAGGGATATAAAGAACCAGGTTTCTCTGAGTGCATGTAAACGCCACATCCTGAATATGATCAGAACCAGAATAAGGCTCATAACTGGGATACTCAAGTCCAAGTGAAGCATTTACCTGGACTTGAGTATCCCGGTTATGAGCCTCACTGAGAGAATTTGGAGGGAAAAAGTTTTATTAGTGTGTGTGTGTGTGCGTGTGTGTGTGTGTGTGTGTGTGTGTGTGTGTGTGTGAGAGAGAGAGAGAGAGAGAGAGAGAGAGAGAGAGAGTGTTTGTGTTGGCATGTACTCTCCTGCATGTCCTTGGGCCGTACTGTCAGTGCAGTCATAAAGCAGATGAATCAGTCCGTGTGTGTGTTTCTTTGTGTGTATTTTTCATTGTGAGTGTGAAAAACAGACATGGCTGTCAGAGCGAAGGATGACTCACCTGACCTGTATTTTATACATCAATCTTTATGTGGTGACAAGAGCGATAGGAACTGGAGCGGAACGAGAGGATGAAACGCTTTATAGGCACGTAGCATTCATAGCTGCCAGAGGCGAGAACGGTGCGGAGGCCGGGAGGGCAAAAAGAGTATAGGAATGTGGCGGCCACTGTTGGACACTCTGTGGAACTGCAGCACGGGCATGCTAAATTTAATCTCTTCAAGTTGACAGAGTTTACAGCAACTGACAACCGCAGAAAAAAACAATATATTTAGAAAAGCTGAAAGTTTACATCACTTGTGATCCTCATCGAGGACACAGGACCCCGATTTTAATCACTATAAAAAACAACAAAGTCGTCACCAGAACTTCCCTTTGGTTATGTTTGCATTATATTGTATTTATCTTCCATAAGTAATAAAGTCACAGGAAAACTATATGTTTATAAATAAGGGCGCTATTTTTTTTTCTAGCTCAAATAAGCATCCTAAAAATGTCCAAGATTCTGTTGACAGAGTTATAATTACACGTTAGACTTCACCCATCCATCCCCTCCCCTCCCCCATTTCACTCCCCTCTCAGTTTAGTTTTCATATCTGCATGCTGGAAAATCCCCACAGGCTCAGTGCTCGGCTGTTATGCCAGGAATGACAGAAATGGCCGCTTGTCAGTCAACTGAGTCACAGCAGCCCTGAGCATTAAACAACAATTAAACAACTTTAAGCTCCGCCTCTTTAATGAACTCTTTAAACCAAGGCTGATTTTTATTGGTGCAATTATTGGAAGCAATAGTTTTTTTCTTGCAGCATTTGTAAAAACAGAATCAATGCGTTTGATGCTGTCTCACAACACCCTCATTAACATTAAGATTCTCCTGACATCCAGGTGTTGCATCAGGAAAATTAAAACAAATCTTTATTATATTCATTTTAATTAATAATCAATCAATCATTATTTCTATAGTGCCATTTCATAACAACTGTTATCTCAAGACGCTTTACAAAAGACCATATGGGAAAATTTGCAGGAAGGATTTCTCCTTTGTATTCTTCACGTTCCTGTTCTCCACACTTCCTCGCTGCTAAGGTGAAGGTCGGAGCAGGCTGTACATGAAGGAGGATGGCGGTGGTTATGGGGACGACACACTCCGATGGTGGTGGCTGGGCGTCGGGTCCTATGAACAACATTTAATGCGCTTTGTGGGTTATTGAATCACCTTTCAAAGGAAGAACAAGCGTATATAAGTGTGTCATCAGCATAAAAATTGACAGACAATTTAGAGTCACCAGTTAATCTAATGAGCATGTCTTTGGACTGTGGGAGGAAGCCGGAGTACCCGGAGAGAACCCACACATGCACGGGGAGAACATGCAAACTCCACACAGAGAGGCTCCAGACAGACGGGGAATCAAACCAGGAACCTCCTCACTGTGAGGGGACAGAACTAATAACATCATGTTCAAACATTACTGGGAAATGTATACAAAGGTCTTTTGGGGGGCGCTGGTGTTGCAGTGGTTAGTGCGCGCACCCCATGTATGGAGGCCATGGTCCTCCAGGCGGGTGGCCCAGGTTCGAATCCGGCCTGTGGCTCCTTTCCCGTATGTCATTCCCTGATTTCCTGCTCCATCCACTGTCCTGTCTCTCAATAAAAGGCCCCAAAAGCCCAAAAATAAATCTTAAAAAAAACCAAAAAACAAAGATCTTATGAGAAGAACAAGTGTCTGACATATTCTGAAAACTATTAAAATGTGGACTCACCTTTTCTTAGAAACAAGTAGGGGGGCTGCTAGAGAGACATGCTGATACAGATCTCAGGTTCTTATACCTGTGTGACACCTACGCTGCGACAGGTACACAGACTGTGAGTGTGTGAATATCGTGAATAATAACGATCAAGCTCAGCCATCCGCAGGTTCATACATGTTCTCGGTGATACACTCCCTCTGTGTGTGTTTCTGTCCAAACACCGCTGTCTGCTCCGTGTTGGATCTTGTAGATTCTGGGTTAAGTAGAGACCTTGGATTTTGTCACAGGATGAAAAATGAGCGTGTACAGGTGTGTTATTAAGGTGAGAGAACACTGCGGTTATTAAGTCGGCCTGATAACAGGAATGAAAAAGGAACGCTGTTATCTGAATACTGTCATCTTCTTTTAATGCACACAGATTTCAGGGAGGTGTTCGGGTTGTTGTGGAAAGAATTGTGCATGAACCAAGATGTTTTTGTAGTGCAGGAGATCAACATGACACTCAGTACATCAACTCAGGTACTTCAGCTTTGAGGTACTAAGGGCCCTTTCACGTTATCGAGATTGCTTGCTCCTCCCCTCTCCCCGCTGGTCTGCGTTCTGATTAGTAACATCACTCTGTCAGTCTTATACAACAAGCAGTGACAGTATGTCTGCTAACTGTGGATGTTTTTGTTATTTCTCAGACGCCAACAATGACCTTCTTCCTACTTAAACATCTTCCCTGCAGCTCAGTGGCTGTGCTGTGTTGATATGGCGTCTTTTAAAGCAACAGAAGATGTTTAGAATGACGTCATAAAGACGTGCACTTCCC